ACTAGCCATGATTAGTGCTGTATGTTGTTAAGTCAAATCTTGCTTACTTTATTCCATTAGCATATGAAATTGTTCAAATTAAACAACTTAGTAGTTTAGGAATTGTATTTTTTGATTACCAAGGCTGAAGTAATTGAAAGTAGGAGTTTTTACAAAACTTGATAAGAAATTAAGAATTACAAACTTGAACAGCGAGAATGATTAGTTTTGTTAATATGTCATATATCGGGTGAACTTTTATTTATCAAATTTCGTCAATTACAGTTTTAGGGGCTGCTGATATTCTGGTCTTATTTCTACATAGTAAATACTAAATATCCAGCAATTGAATTCATTATCCTAAGATTATTAATTTAGCAAGCGTAAAATTGGCTTAGACTTGCATCATTAATAAGAGAAAAAAGGAAGAAGTAGCGAAAAGGAATAAGATTAATAAACAAAGGTAGATTCCCCGTGTTGACGTCGGTTTACTGAAAAATTGTACGGCTTCTTTCTTCAAAAATTTTCATCAAAAGTTTTAATAGAAAAATGATATCCACTCATCGTTAATAATGACCATTATATTGTAAAATGAGCGTCTATTATCAAGAGCAATTTAATTTCGACTTTTATTTGGACTAGATTAAGAGCTATAGCACTAGTATGATTGGTATTGTTACTTATAAAAAATTAAATTAGTCGCATATTTTTTTCTAATGTTATAACGTACCAACTGAAGACTCCCTCTAGGCTTATTATAAACTGGAGTAGTTCGCTCGTGGTATAGCATCAGGCTAACGCAATTATTGCGAAGAAGTATGTTAGTTTCCGGTTAAACGGATAATTAATTAGAATACTGAATCCATGAAGATGATGACTAAGGAAATTACTGCTAGCAAGCATGCGAAAATAACTTAATTACGTAGCCTGCTACACAATAAATCAAGCAAGAGTCTAAATGCAAAATTTTCTTAAGCAGGTTTACGCATAACGATTTTTCTTTTGCATCACGTAAAATTTTGTTTTAAGATACTCGCATATAAACCGTATTAATAGCAATCAAAATCATGTCGAATGTAGCAATGCATTGCGATCGTCAATTCCTGTGAAATTCAAGAGACGAAGACGATTTAAAGATTCTACAGAAAACGTTCTCGATTCGAAGTAAAAATATTTCACTATTGGTAGTTAGACGAACCTAACTTCTGTAATAAAGTGAAATTTGCAAGAAACTGTAGTTCTTGATTTATTGTTTCGAAGATCACTTTATCAGACTAGGAAAACAACGGAGACTTCGAAAAAGTTTTAATTTCTTAAAGAGATATCTGATTGTCACAAACCAACTTCGTGACAAGTATAACGTAAAACAAATCTCTAAATTACTATAGTCTCCGGGATTCAGTATCCCTACTTACAAGAATTTAGACGCCTTTGATTCTACGTTAAAACAACTATACAATTGAGAACTGCTTTATTCAACTATCTGACGGGTTTATATACCCTTCTACAGCAGCTAACATTCACAAGTCATCTTATAATAACACTTGGGTGAGAACATCTACTAACTAGTTTTTCACAGTCGGACTACAATATGTCCATTCACAGAATCATTTCAGCACATATTACAGCACAGCAATAAATTTACTGTAACACATTTATAATTAGAGTAATTCCTATTGTAAGTAACTAGTTGTAATATAATATCACTATACTATATTAACCAAATTTAGATAGCTATTTCTTCACGGTAGTTCGTACCGTGACACTGATCACTTTGATTATCCAGTTGACGGTACTGTAACAAGGCTATAGAATATTTTAAATCTAAATATCCATGCAGTGCAGTTTGATCTGGTCCTACACTTCGTAATAATTTAATCAGGCCTTATTATAAATTTCGATTTTAATTAACTTAAAAGATCTTCTTCTAGATAATTTAATTTATTGGTACCTGCAGTTATAATTTAAAATCGCTAACGTGCTTTTCGCCATTATTATAAGCTATTATTACAGTCTAAACGATAATATATATTAGAGCCTAGGAAAACATGTGATTACTATTTTAATGATCAGATTTTTTGTTATCAATTATAATTAAAGTAACTCTAGTTAAGTAAATGCACGTATAACATACTGTACAGTTGAATGTAGCTTTAACTAATTACATAGTTGTTATTTCCTAAGATTATATGAAATTTTATATGTTATCTGGTAAAGGATATAAAATACTTGAAATATTTGTTTAAAAAGAAATTTTAACGTATACTACAGAACGGTACGATATATAGTAAATCTTCAACACCTATTATGGTTGTCATTGTGGTTTGCTTTAAAACAGTATTGAGAGCTGAATACTTAATAATGGCTTGATGATAATTTAAAATGTGTATGAATGTAGCAGTGAAGATTTTCCCACGATAAGGCGCTATATTGGAGCAACTATTTCTTTAAGCAATAATAATATTGTATGATAGCTAGGTCTGATGTCCATTTTGCTAAATATAACTAGAGCGAAAAGAAAATTATTTTCACTTTTGTTATAAAGCTCAAACATAAACAATTTGGGGAGATAAATTTGATACAAAGTTTACTAACCAATAAATAACTGTACACCACGTGCAGAAAGTTATTTTTACGAGGATAACAGTTAGATTCATAACCTGGAAAAGCAAAATTAACCGCACTTCAGTACAAAATCAAGCCTTTGAAGTCTGAAGTAGTTCGAATTACTAGTAGGTAAAAAAGTGACTTGCTAGATTGGCATAGATTCTAGTATAACTGCATTCCTCTATATTCTTTTATCACTACATCGATCGCGACACTGAGTCGAAAATAAATCAAAATATAAAGTTACATTAATGTTTCATGATGTCACAATTTCACTTCTGCGACAAAGTAACGTACAGTAAAAGTCTATAAGTAGCTGCTGACTTTAACACCCATTCACATAACGTTAAACACACACAGCGAAAGACTGTAAAGATGAAACTTTTATTAGCAAAGATACATCTACAACTTTTTACCACACCACTCAACTCAAATGTTCCCGTTTATATAGGAACCGTCTAATTTGTAAGCAACAACAGTATTATTATTATACCTTACTAGGAGAAACATCTCGAACTGAGATATTCCTTACATAGCTTTTCTATCAGTAAATATTTTGAATCTCTTACTCATACTTAATCTTAATCTAAGCTCGTAGGTAGTCTAATTCAACTATCATCAACTAGAACTTGAATCATCTTACTGCTGTCTATTACACAATAACAATCAATATCAAATATGTAATGAACTATTACAAACAACATCCACGTTAAGGGATTACTTATCTTACCTAGCACTACAAATATGGATATTCTACATACTAGCTACTACAGTACTTATTAAACTATCCTAATGACAACGCAACACTGTAACACATGACCATAGGAGTACCGGGGAAAATATAGGGTATGAATATTTATGAGTACTAAATTTTTAATATTAAAATATAAATTACAATAAATAAGCGTAATATAATACTTCCCCTTATTTAGAGGCGAAACTGTTATTTGCGCAGAAGTGATATTATAACGAAATTAACGGATTCTCTATTACATTATTAATATGCTCTACACCCTTTAATACACTAATATACTTCTCGTTCCGAAAACAGACTAAAATTCTTGAATTTACTTTTAATATGACTTAAATCCTTTGAGGGTGCTTAGCAACACAATTTTGGTAGTTTATAGAATTGGGTATTAGAATTTCTTATTTTCAAATTTAACCGCATGTTTTAGTTAAAAAATGATTTCAAGGTATAAGTATTTTAGATTTTCCTAAGTGTTAATGTATCACATATAGTTTTTAAAACTAGTAAGATTGGCTATAAATGAAAGGTTTGTTTTTAGCGTTAAGATCGATATTCATACAGCATTAGATATTAATAATAATTTCATTTCTTTGGCTGTCTTTTATTTCCTGCGATTATCCTTTCATAGCACATGATTTAGAAGTATAGCTTAAATGGTTATAAAGCTTTCTGACGGGAATTTGACGTATAGTAAAGACATAGAAATTTTTGACTTTTGTTAGAAATCTCAAATATAAGATTAGCCAGAGATTCTGACGAGGCCATAATATTACGGAATAGAAGTCAATTCATTAGCAGCTTTAACTTAATGCAACCTATTTTTAGAATGTAATGACTTAGAGAATCTTCTAATTAGTTATTACACAATTCACATTTATATATGTTACGGCCAATGTCCGATATTTACGCGTATGGACCAATTTCTGACATTAGCCTTAACCTATGTTATATTGTTACATATGTTATGCATAAGATGCTATAAAGTAACCGATGCCTGGATTAGCTAATTTTGAGTTATGGATCTATAATTTTGAATCGGTACAAAATATTTTTGTGTAACCGAAAGAAATTGGTTTTACTTTAATTTAAATAACGTGCTGCAATGATCTATAATTAATATAATGTCATTGGATTGAGCAACGTCGACGCTTTATCCTTTTAACAATTTTCAATGTAAAGAAAACGAATTAAAGGTTTATTTTATAAGATTCCTTTGTTTTCTGGTTTTATTTTCTAAAACTAGAAAATTATGCGGTCTGTTTGTACTATTAAATTGTCCTTGTACGGTAAGTAGCCAATGGCTGTTATAAGTACCTGGTATAAAGTCTGTGAGTTAATTAAACTTTTCGTTCAACTTTTATATTCCTTGAATTTCATAATTCGTTAACATAAATCAATCTTTAAATTTTAAACTCGTTTTATGCAAGAATACTGAAAATAAAATGAAAGTCTTTAACTAATATATATCTATAAGACCGAACAAGTTCAACCTATTTAAAAATTAACAATATTTACGTATATTCGTTTTTTTTAATTCAACGAGTATGAATTCACATTCATTTCCTCGAATAAGAAATATATCATAGTGTTAAAAGACTATTTCTAAAATTTAACTCTCATGATAAAATTAGATATCATATCATCTTTATTTCTGTTAACATTATCAGGCATGATTTGTAAATTTATGCAGACATTGTCCCCAGACTTTGTTAATACTAGATCTTACATTTGTATCAAATATCAAGAATAGAAATGGATTAATAACATATACTAAGTTCGAAGCTGTGAAAGCGGACGTAACAGCAAACGCTATATCAGGATTGTGTTCAATTAGGTTAGATTGAGTTTCGTTAGCGAAAGATAATATCATTAAAGATGAAATAAATGGCCATGAAAGTAACATATACAAAGCCGTAGCAGCAGCTAAAAGATTAAAAATACTTTTAGAACGTTTCCATGATGCTGTACTTAGTTCGGTATTATTTATTAGCGGAAAAATTCGAGCTCCCATTATAAATGCTATTCGAGCATAATTTACAAACATGATTATTCCTGGGATAATATAAGCAATTACTAATGTACTTGTGAGGAAAATACTATTGAAAATATTTCCATACGGATGATATATATCACAGCTATCAGTAATTGGAGAGAAATGCAATGCAAAATAAGTGGGTAATGCTAGTAATAAACTCGTAATCCATACTGTTATAGCAAACTTAGCGCTATGCTTATAAATAATTGACGTATGCTTGAATCGATGAGGATCACTCACAATTTTCAATCTATATAAGCTTATTAACATTAAACTTAATGTTGAAGCAATATAAGATGCAGAAAATATAGTGTAAAATACTTTACAAATAATATTGCTAGTATTTAAGAGCTGTGGAGAATTCCTATTAGAAAACGAGAATATTATCAGTACTTGAATCGCGGTGATAAGATCCGAAGCTGAAATGTTGAGGACAAAAATATACGACGGATCTTTTAATCTTTTGGAGAAAATAATAATACTTAGTAGAGCCAAATTACCAACTATACCCAGGATAGAAATCGACTGTATCATAAAATTAACATCAATAAGATCAGTAGTGTTATTCATATCCATATTGCAAGATTGAAGAAGTGACTTGGCGAAAGATGTAGTTCAATTATATAGTAATTGATTGCAGCAAAATATTTAATTAAGGCTATTTTCTGTTTAAATAATAACAATTGCCTTTTACTATTGTCTTTAAATGGTCAGTTTGTTTTTCATTAACCTTGGTAATGTGTAAGATATTTAGTGACCTTTATTAACTTCTGTAGCTAGTAAAATTACCCGGTATGGCTTGTATTCTCATTATAGTTACTATTTAATAGCCGACTGTAGTAATACACCCTATGTTTGATTGTATTGATATCTATATTTGAGATATGAATAGTTAGACTTCTAAAAATAGATATTATCATGATGTGATATTAGATGGTTGTTAATTATAATATTAAAAATCGTTGATTAATACTAATGTCTAGAACTTGGTTAAGTATGGTAATCAGATTAATGTAACTCGAAAATGCTTAACACCTTATAGTATTAGATATTAACGGAAGAGTTTTGATATTTTAAGCAAAATGACTCGTACTGAAAAACTATAATGATGATCTATTTGAGAAAAAAGCCTTCTGTCTGATGATTCAGGTCTAACTGTAGGCAGTAAAGTAAATAGATTAAAACGAAATGTATTTAAGAACTGCAGAGATGAGCTGGAGTGCACTAGACTTCCCTTCTCTTAGCTCGGGATACTTTGGATTAGTTTCTTATCATTAATTGATCACGGCAATTATTGCTTTACTATTTTTAAGCTCTGTAAATAAAGCCGTTTTTAAATTCTATATTGACTAGGATAATTATTTTCTGAAATAACATTATTACTCCGATCGAAGTACGAAATTTATATATTTGTATTTATTACTTTGGTAAATATGAGTTTGTACAAATATCGGATTCGGTATCGTACTACATAGTAATACTATGTACGAGAATTTTCGGAAATCTTTTTTTTATATTTACCACTATTTATTGTTAACCAGGAAAAAATTTGTCGGCATGATCCTATATCCACATATAGAAGATTGCTATATTTCGTTATTTTCTTTACTTAATAAGTTTAGAAGAAACTTGAATAAGAAATACAAGGTCATAAATTATCCTAATTACTTAAATTTGCTGAATAAGAATTCAGAAATATGCTACTGAAATTTGGTATTAAAAATAAAAGTCATGGTAAAATGTTATTTATTCTATATCGAGAATCCGTTATAGTCATCATATATGTTATTAGAATTATAGGTAAAGTCCATACGATTACCTAGTAACTATGACCTAACAAGTACCTTATCATTCAAGAACAGTTCGTACCAGTTCCACCCTAGATAGCGTTTTAAAGATTTATCTACATGATTCATATAAAATTAAATAAGTTAATAGCAATTTTTACACTAACCACAGCAAATAAAATTACCAATATTGTCATATAACAATGTAAGTTATTACTGTGCGTAAAATTCTAATGTTATAGGCAATGGCATTGCTTACTACCCCTAGAGTTGAGAGTAGATCGTATTTCAACACATCACAGGCGTTCATCTATTCCACGACTATTTAGTTAGAAAATGTTTAAAAAAATGTAAAATATCTAATTACTACTGATGCGTGTCGCACCATTTTTATGCCTATTGTGAAATATATACAGTAATTGGTTTATTTCAGTACTGTAACTGTAATTGCACTAAAACTTTCTTAGAAACACTTACAGATGATCTCAAGCCAGCTAACAAGTATTCTTGGGCTTGGTACTTGTTTAATATGTCTGAATCATAATAATTTGATTAATTTCCGATACCATTTGCAGCAGTTATTAAGTTGCTAGAATTTCAAGAGCAGATATGGCACGCCTATCTTGTAAAATTTACCGGTTGATATATCCGCGCATATTCATATAATTGTCTTCTACTACTAGTACTTTAATAGATAACTAGAGTTCACCTCTATCTAACTGGAGCGTTATCTATTCTATTGCTTTGAAAGCCTAGAATCTATTTGTATTTCCAGTATCGCAATTTTTAAGTTTCTCTTATTCTTCACAATTAGAAATTTGTTTCCCTGGGCAATGACATACTATATCCTGTATTATAATACAGTACTAGTACTATATTTTATGGCATCAGTTGACAGTACAGAACTAGAAAACGGGCTATAATTATAATTATTGTGAATATCAATCTTCATAATGCATTTGAAAAAGTACAGCAATTTAACTAGACCTAATATATCGACGTTTCTTTTAAAATATTAAAATAAGAATTGGTATTTCCGTTACGATTTCAAGGAATCCTTGCTCTGTATAACGTTCAGAGTAATAAAGCCCAGTCAGTAAATATTAAAATTAGAACAATTTCTTGTCGAGTTTCACTTTAATACATAAATTTGGTTCTTTTAGCAATACCAAGTCGCTATCTTGATATTCAGAATTATAGGATAAAGTCTTGTAGATTTTAACTGAGCTAAAAATGCTTTGATAAAGTTTTCGAAGTAATTGCTCTTATAAGTACGAGTGATATTTGGTCTGATAAGACGTTCAATGGTGAAAATGTAAATTGTGTAGTATTGATTTTCTGTGACAAGCAAATTGCTGAAATTCTAATATTGGATAGTTTTAGAAAATTTAAAATATGCGTGCGAGGTAATAGATTGGCATTTGTACAGCTACTAGAATCTTTATTTAGAAATTTATGAATTATTATATATCCCAATGATCCTTTAACTATCGCAGTAATTCAATTTCATTTTACAGGATTAGAAATTTAATAAGAAAGTAAATACTATTCTGTAATCAAAGTGGTGGCATTGCCAATGATCTCGAAGTAAAAAATTTTTAGTATCTTTTACAGTCTGCAATTCATAATATGAATATGATATCACTCCTGTAACTTGTAGTCATTGTCAGGTAATACCATATAAAATGATTAAGATCCAGTTACAGTTATTTTAACAAAACTATAACGTACAACAACGGTTCTTCAAATACAGTACTTCAACCGTAGGTTTGATAGGTGTAATAATGTACGTATCGTATACGGAATTTCTTAGTTAAGAATTGGCTTTGTCAACTACTAAATTGTCAAAATATCAATCTGCACTCTATAACGGCTTAATTAATCTGTACTCTCAGGGGATATTCACAATTGAATAAGAGTCTGTGACTTCAGCGATGCCGAAAGTGATGAGAATGATGTGCTCCGGCATGATGATGGTGTATTCCGTGATGATGATGGTGCATTCCGTGATGATGCATTCGATGACGGTGGTGCATGTGGCTACTGCTACCGGAAAAAACGCTACTTGAATGCGCTGCGGTACCATAGTAGGCTGGGTGCATAAGATTATATCGGTGTCTCGCAATCATTAAATGATCCTAAAATATATTGAAGCAAAATTTAAGAATTTTCCATATTTCAATTTTCTTGCAATAGTTCGTACTACTCTAATTAACGGCTTTAATTGACGAAAATGCGAACCATTATAATTGCAAATCCGACGAGCAAAGCTTTAAAATTAGGATGGAGATCCGTCGGGACTAAAACAGTGTTAAAATGAATTAATAAGAAATTGGTGTTTAAGAGACCACAGTATGTTTTATTTTAATTATGATAGCTAATACAATACGTAACTTTGGAAAAGTCGTCTTAATTTTTACTCAATTTACGTACAATTAACTTCCATATTGCATTGTAAGTTTCCCATATTAGGTAAGTGTTTCGCAACATTGCCAATAACTTTGCCGCTTTTAGAAATGATCTAGCATTTAAAATGTGTGTTTATAATTATTAGTTTCGGAAATAATAGTGTAAAGAATTACGAGTAGTAGAGATAAAACTGCCAAAGTCTAGAAGATCCAATGAATTTTTACTTATATTTAATACTATCGTGACGAATGCAACAATAATCTTGTAAAGATCTTCGTTTTTATACCGGAAAATTTAGATAGCCTTCCGCCGCACGAATTGCACAGCAGTGACCAGGGCCGTTGATTGCTAATTCAGTTACGCCGTTTGGGGAGGTTACAGCATGCTTTGGGCCGAATATAGATGTTCTGAAATTGATCCGAATATGAAAATTAAGCATGAAGAAATCCCTAAACGGTCATGTAAATCTTTTACATATGGAAAGAGATAACTCAGAAGCTAAATACCGAAAGAATTGCTAGATCTTTAACTATTGGCATCGTCATTTTTAAAGTTAATTTGTAGAACATCTGCAGATAGTCTATATTGCCAGGTGTTAGTTGAATGTCTACAAAACGCCTATAATGAGATTTGAGTACTTACTGGACTACGCTGCCAATTATATTTTCCGGAGGGCAAGCAACATTTAATTTATATAAAATAGCACTCAAACAGCCAGATACTTCGCCGGATAGGGCGCGAGATAGTTGCATAACTTTCCTTTCCATGCTATCGTAAAGGGCTATTTCAGCTAGATCGTAGCCATACATATTTATCGCTGTTGTTACATTATCTAAGGAGCAACGCGTAACAAGTCAATTACAGCCAGTTATAGCTTAGTAACATATAGGGCTTATAAGATATTCAACTGAGAACTAGTTACTGTCAATCAAGTAGAATATCTAAGAGACTACTAGTGTTACTGCTGTACGGTCTATGTTAATGTTAAGATTCTGCTGAAAGTGTGGTATCTTTCAAACTTACCTTCAATCGCATAATAGATCAATTGACCAGCGTTGTTTTTTACCTGGTATTTACTTCGGAACATCGGCATGAATACTATAGTGCATAACATGATAGAATTAAGAGATATCCTGAGCCGCAATCATTGAAATTGTTTCTAAATATTAACTGATCATATACTAAATTTGTGCTAATTAAATTATATCAACATACAAATATTATAAGTTACTTAGAACTTTTGCGAGGCTATTTGAGATTGTAATGATTTCTTCTAGGTTTAATGGCATATAGAATCATAGCTTCACGTACCGCACAATTTATTAAAGTACCCAGGTTAGTTAATCATAATCTCGTATAGAACAGTAAAGTAAGTTTGTAGTCTAGAAATCATAGCATAGAGAATATGCCAATTTGGTCATTTTGGATAGATTCGCTTCTACACCAACTCCTATCATAACCCGACTACAGTCTTACTTGCAATTCAACAACTATAGATCTAATAGTATCTAGATGTTTAAGAGCTTTGCCGTCATGCTCAATGGTAATTATATTAAAAGGGTTTGATAAAGTACTTTTTGACTTGACTTAGTATGATGATCACAAGTAAGGTGATTACGGTAATGTTGGGATTAAGGACGTACGCTTTGATGTTGATTAATGTGCTTATGAAAATACGGTACTTTAACTTACTCTTTCTATTCTATTCAATTCCATTCCTATACAAGAAGTTATCGAAATTGGCAAACTTACGTTCTTGCTGTTGTATGTCGGGACAAATTATTACTTGACTAAGCTGGAATAGGCGTTCAAGTCCTGGCGAACAATCATTGGAGACAGTATTAGGGGCAGGAACTTGCATCCACTGAAGCGACTGTGGAAAGTACGATTGAGTAGCAGGATCTGGTCCTCCTGGGCCAGCAATTGGTTGTTGAGATATTGGTGGAGGTACAGGCATAGCACCTCCTGGCTGCTGTAAAATCGGTGGTGGTAAAGGCGATTGACCGACATCCACTCCTTGCATAGGCATAGGCATAGGCATCGGCATCGGCATAGGTACAGTCTGTGGCGATTGTTCTTTTACTGTATCCATAGTTGGGCTACATGGAGTAACTTCTTGCATCTCTTTTTCCGATGAAGATGGTTGTGCTATAGGTACAACCATCGATTGGTCATCTTTTACCGTATCAACGTAGCTAGGAGGGTGATCTTCGTCATTTGGAAGTGGTCTATTGGCCATTTCTGCCTTATTATTATGGGCGTCGTTGCCAGTAACTGCCTAAAAGATAATCTATTGACTAAAACAATTGGTCGATCGGATGCAAAGTCCCAACTCAAGATCTTTATTCTAATCCAATTTACGTCCCGTTTCTAACTGTGATGAAATGATATTGTTTTAGAGATTTACTCGAGTTAATATTATCGGTCAAGTTGATGCTGTTGATTCAATAAACGACCGTTACCAAGTTGCTTTGCCTTTCTTCGCCAGTATTCTTCTCTATTTCATCTGATCGAGATAGAGCACCACCGTATACTATAATGTATAATCCATTTACCTTGTGACGATGACGTCACGATGCTCTATTTACAATCCTATTTTGGAAGGCACTGGTGGTTCTTATACAGTACAGTACAGTACTGTACTGTATACTGTACACTGTACTGTACAGTACTGTACGACGTCACGATGCTCTATTTACAATCCTATTTTGGAAGGCACTGGTGGTTCTTATACAGTACTGTACATTACAGTACTGTACTGTACACTGTACTGTACTGTACAGTACTGTACTGTAGAATTGAAGTCGCTAGAGCACCACCGTACAGTGTACAGTATACAGTACTACTGTACACTGTACAGTGTAATCCGCTACCAGCTACCTTGTGACGATGACGTCACGATGCTCGATTTACAGTACAATCCTATTTTGCAAGGCACTGGTGGTACTGTTAGTAGTGGTGGTTCATATTGAATTGAAGTAGCTAGAACTAAAGCTATTGGATAATGTAATTTTAATGAGTCACTAACGTGCAAAAAGCGGACAGTCAAATTTTAACATATAGTATAGATATAGATAGATATCCAGTTCAAAGGTATTGTAAAGATCACTGCAATGCAATTTCCATGCTATTAACTTTTTAGTCAAGTAGCGAAGTGTAAAGTAGTAGCTTAGTGTTATTAGACTTGGAGATAGGTTCGCTAGCCTTCTACAATCAACATCGGCTACGATTGTTATTGTTGACGATCCTTGCCATGTCAAAAAGTAGAGTATATAAGAAAATTCGCTAGTTTTCTAAAAGAAGTCCTGAATCCGCAGATCCATAACATTCTAGACTATCTATTACTCAATATAGACTCTAAATAAACGCTATTACTCAAATCCTTACTCGGATAAGATACTTCGTTTATACCAAGCAAGCCTTGTTCTATTCGAAATAGATCGATCTACAGTATAATTTGTTTCTCACCGTAGAATGGAGGTGATGCATGCGTTTAGTTGACAGTTTATTTTCATCTTCTAGTGTATATTTACGCATCCTCAATCAGTTACTAAAATGTCGTCTAACAATACTGTAATAGAATCAATAATTCATGATATAAAATAATTAATTTATCCCGGACACACCCAAGAATTGAATCAATTTCCATCAGCGACAATAAAGAATCTGTTGTCTGTTGTAACACATGGTTGTGCAGGGGAATCACGGGAGAGCAAATAAACCCGTTCGTCTGCCGCGCTTATTGGATAATTTGGATGTACTGTACTGTACTTACATTGTATAGTATCAAGAACTTCTACCATTAGACAAAGTATTTGTATCAGAAGGGTACCAGAAACTTTTCGAGAACAGCGATTCTTCAAAAAATGGAAAAAAATCGATCTATAAAAATGAAAGAAAGACATCTCTTCCTTTCATTATTGAGAAATTATTTTTTATCAGGAAACCCCTGGTAGTATCTGATGGTACGGTCATCAACGCCATTATGGTATTCAGTAAAACAGATTAATTAATTTGAGTATGAGCGGCAGCCAACTTGAGGGGTTTCATGTAGTACTCTGCTGTAAAGTAGAAAGGGTAATTCTTCAAATATCACTTCTCTTTTAATATCCAATACCCTGAGGTGGTAGCAATACTTCATTCGCTACTTTCGGTTGCTTAGTATCGATATTTTGAATTTTAATCAATTGTAAGCTCCATCAAGCATGACATACAGTACGACTAAATGTCGCCACTTTTGCAGTATGGTAATGCATAAATACAGCACCGTATACGAGGTAGTAAAAAAGGATACAATTGCATTATTAACAGCTAGCCTAATAGTCATGTGTCTTGGCAGGACTTGAAATGCAGTAGAACACTGATGAAATTGTCAGGCAGTCCTGAAGTGATTTCAGCTAACTAAAGTAGGAACAAGAAGTACAATGGTACTAGGACGTAAAATAGCCTGCTATGTTTAATTTACGTGATTGATTGATAGCTGAAATGATGAAATAGTGTACTTTTAAATTAGAACAACCTCGAGCTCAAGCTACTCCACTGCAAAGCCTCTCCACTAGTCGTTAACTATCACTAAACTATTCAACAATCATACCATGAAGCTGTGTTACGATGCGTAAGCTCGTCCTAATTATAATTATTGAGTAATATTAAATATTGCTTGTGTGGATTGACGTTTTATTAATTGTCATTTCTTCATATAACTTGTTTAATCTTTGATTAATATGATAATGCACTTATATGAAGTCTTTAGTGACAATATTCATAATAATTCCTATAACTTTAAAAGGATACTTTTATATTATATGCACCAGGAGTTTCTGACGAGACTATAAAAGGCTGATGCCTGAAGATTCCTTTTTAGTTCGTTAGTCGGTTAGATAGTCAACTAGTTTTCAATTGATATTTAATTGTGAAGACTATAATCTTGGGTGCCAAGATTCCTTCAGTAATAAATGATAGTAAATCTCTGACTATCTCGTCTACATCATCTGTGACGCTATAATTATACCATAGTATTCGGTTGTTGGAACTGAATTAGCTGGTGATATAGCTAATCTCGCCTCTTTAAGTTAGTAAGTGGCGTTCTCCGCAAGGATTGGCGTGTGTAGACTACTTTGTCACTAGTGGCGTGTGACAAGCTGTTATTAAATTTCATCGTGACTAAGATTATTATTTCGTGAAAATTAGGTTTACTACACTTGATAGAATATTTGGAATACTATTTTAGCTAATTTCAGCGTAGTTAGTAAGATCAGCAGTTTTACGTGGAGTGATTGATAAAGATAACCCAATAGGAGTAGTGGTTAATTAAAGTATGACTTATTAAAGCATCTTTGGGTTGTAAAATAAGAAAAACTATACTTATTGCAAAATCTATAAATAAATTTCCTAGTAATTTACAAAGATACTTTTTGAAAATCATGCTAAACTTTACAGATATTATGTTCACATTTTTTCGAACCTTTAAGTCTAAGATCAACAAACTTCCATAAAACTTATAGCTATATTTCTAGTTATATACAATAATATTATTAAGGCTGGTATTGTATTAGCTATACCTAAAATATAACTTAAAAGGTGGAGGTTTCAGAACTAGTGAGTAAACAAATATTGCTACCGATGCTGATTAATTAATAAACTCGAAAGCTCAAGAATTAAAAAAAAAACTGCTCAAATTGCTGCGAATACAATATCAATTAGCTATTGGTTCCAAGAAGAACGTCAGAAAACTCACAGACCCTAGCGTAAATGATATTGCAGAAATAGAAAACTAAGCTCAAATGATATAATGGCCGTAAATGAAGTCGTAATGGTCAAGTAAATAACGTAGAAAACTGTTTGTTAACAGAACTTACGAAAAACGATATAGGTATACAGTATCTTATGCACCTATCAAATATAATAGGGATCAGTTTAGTAATCATTATATTTCCATTATTAAATAAGTAAACAATATACTCTCGATCTAAGCACAACACCATTCATCAGTACAGATTCAAATCCTAAGAATTTATATTTTGAACATTATCAAGTATTACGATTCGTACTCATATGCTGCGGTAAAGTAAATCAGTCCTACATCGCGTCGGATTTGGATTATAATTACCCAATTGTTCAATAAAATAGTCTATCAATTTCGCCAAAATGTACTACATATATTTGTGGATGATAGTACTAAAAGTTGGGGTACTGATAATTAATGCTCCACAGCCCGTGATCAAGGTGCCTACATATTTGCAGCATACATTGGCGAAAGAGTCTGTAAAGAGATATAATTTGCACTAAAAACGGTATCAAGCTATTTGTTGCACATCGTATGAAAGTTTAGCAATGCTTAGTGTTCTTCAATTTCGAATGATTGCAATATCCATTACTCTTAAACAAAATTCACCATTAAATAAACAACTTAAATAGACCTTAATTTCTGTCTATCTGAATAATATTATATTCATAATTCCAACTCATCTTGTAATTGGCAACTCAAGATACGTCAATGATTGTAAACTTTAGGCTTATTAAAAGCTGGAATAGTTCGTTCGTGCTATAGCATCAGGCTAACACAATTATTGCGTAGCCGTTTATAAGTTTCCGATTGAACGGGTAATTAATTAGAATAATGATTCCATGGAGATAATAACTAAGGAAATGGCTGCTAGCAACTATGCGAAAATAACTTAACTATGTATCCTGCTACATAATAAATCAGGAAAGAGTCTGAACGCAAAATTTTTTTAAGCAGGTTTACACGTGGCCAGTTTTCCTTTACATTATATAATTTTTCTTTTAAGATGCTCACACATAAATTGTACTAATAACATTCGAAATCATGTCAAATGAAGCACTGCATTGTGATTGCTTGTTTATGTAAATTCTAGAAGATGAAGATGATTTAAAGATTCTACAGTAAACGTTCTAGAGTCGAAGTGAAAATATTTTACTAGGAAAGCAATAAAGACGTCGAAAAAGTTTTAATTTCGTAAACGAGATATCTGATCGCTTGGTTGTACAGCTGATGGTTCTGCAATATAGCTATAGAATATTTTAGTTTTAAATATCCGCACAGTGCAAGCTGATCTGGTCCTACTTTTCATAATAATATAATCAGGCCTTACTATAGACATCGATTTTAATTATAAACATTATTACAGTTTACAACGATAATTAGAGCCTAGGAAAACATGTGATTGCTTTCTTAATGATCAGGTGTTTTTTTATCAATTATAATTACAGTAGCTC